GTGGGGAGGATTCGGGTGGAGATCCAAAGGAAGGAAACAAGACGAACTAACCCAGGAATCTAGTGTGCTTCTAGACGCTAAGTAACGCTCAAAGGGCTGTCCTGCTCCACGATTCAATCGCTTTAACTTGCGCGTGCAGCTCGGCCTGACTGGCCGTGCATGCGATGAGCCGCGGAATCAGACGGCCAAATCATATGAACCCAATCTAACAGGATAATGCATTTTGGTATCACAATTACCTTAGTTATACCAGTAAATAGGTCCCTAAATGAGCAACAAGCGGATGACGCATGATTTCTTCCATTCCCCTTTCTGGGAGGAAAACTCCATCTGTCAAAAACTCTATCTTTCTTTAGAACAAAGAGCAAAATGCAAAATTTGCCAAATCTTACTGATTCTTTTGACGTGCACCGTCTAGGAAGAAGAGCTCCACAATGGGCCTGTTCATCTGAGGATTCCATGTGTGAGCAAACTTCAACTCGCTCTCATTTGAGTTCATCACATAAAAGGATACAACACCATCAGCACGAGCAATGGCAACCGCTGTTGAATCGGGAGAGATGCAGACCGCTGTCACCTCCTGAAGGGAAATCACGAAGTATCAACGAAATACAGGAGACAAGCGGCAGATCTGGCGAAAATAATAGAAGGTATGAATAGCAAAATGAAAAGTACTAAGAGGTACAAAACGCGACATGGAAGTGAGCATTTGGAGATATATCGCGACACTGCTCGGACGAAGCAAGTTAAGAGAGGAATGAGCTGGTGGTGCAGCGCACTATATCAAACTAGCCCGGTGAACGTAAGGTGCGGAGTCTTGCCGGGAGTCAAGCCCTCTGTTCATCATAACTTAGTGGCTCTTGTGATATTTTTATCATCAACTGTAGCGATAAACAACAGATCATAGGAAACAAGAGAAATAGCTGATGATAGGCTTAGCTGTCCTTGACTGACGTGTAACGAACCTCCTCAACCTCCACTGACAAGATGGCTTCTTCTACTGCTATCGCTTCCTCGTATGTCATTCTTGAGCCACGCTCCTTTAGAATACTGAGATTCACGACATAAACCGTGTTTTTCTGAACGAGGCGAATTCAACAAAGTCAACATAAACAGCATTTTGCAAGCAGTGCTGCTCGTGGAGTAGTTGCGCTGCGTTTATACTTTGCATCGACCTTTCGAGCGCAGCAGCGTTTTGAGCCACTACGAAACTAGAGGTATCGATCTAGCGCACTGAGTGCATAGCAGCGTTTTCAGCGACTGCACGCGAGAAGACAAAACTAACCGTGAACGCTCAAAACCTCTGGTATATGCTCAAAGGTATTAATTGATACCTGTACTTTTCCAGTTGGTCAAAACGCTGCCGTGCGCTTGAAGCGCTGACGCAAAGTATGAACTCACTCTTACCTTGAATAGTGCGACCATGTTCACAACATCTGACGGATCAGAGGGATTCTCTGCCACATATGGGACACCAGACAACACGTGGTGTACTATCGGGCGTTCCTCCTGGCCAGTTCATGATGGTCATGTATGTCTCCCTGAAGAAATACTTACACTACCATGGCTTGTGCACATACATTTTTGTTCGATGCGGATGAGGGGGCGTGTCAGTGCGGCTGCGTTTGGCGTACGCCAGGTCGCTCTCCAACAGTTGCTGAAGAGGTAAGTGACAACAATGGTGGAAATGACTGATACAAACTAATGATGCAGATTTGTCGTTTGCCCACAGAAAAAAAAGGAAGAAAAAAGGGTTGGCACCGCGCCATCTTTCTCAGCGAGCGGGACTATAATACGACGGTAACAATAGGGACGGCTAAAAAAATGAAGCGCTGCAGAAAAATACTCACACATCCTGACAATCCGCTGCAACTGAGTAAACATGAAGATTAGACTCGCCATCAACCACTGCTAGTAGGGGGAGATGCGTAGCAAAGCGAAGGTCTACTGGAGCTTTCGAAAATCCCTGTAATGGAATGCATCAAATCGACAAAAATTCATGAGAAAAACTTCCTCTCAACTAACCTTGATGAGCCGGCGGTTGCGTGATACTCTATTGATTATGCGGATCACATCGCCAGTATTTTCATTGAAGAAGCGAAAAGCTATTAAATCACCTTGAACAGCCAGAAATCGCCCTCGCAACGCACGAACCTGTACAGCCTAAGTATAAACTAAACTTTTAACAAATGTTACTGCCTAGTAAGATATAGCTAAAGAAGAATCGTACAGGGCGCGTCCAATTTCATCTACTATGGTGTCAAAGAGCAGAAAGAGCACATAAAACAGCAGCTACTCACGTCTCCTTTGTAGTCGCTAATAGTGGTGGTGTGGATACGAGCGCTGTCCCGATCCCGAGTTTGCGATTCAAGCGCAAGTGAAAGACTCACATTGTTGCCATTTGCAAACTTTATCACTCCGTCAGTACCGTCGAGTATACTGCAAGGAAAGTGTTAGATGGAAGATGGTAGTAACTTGGCCTATAGTGAATAAGAGAAACTCCAGAGCTCTGAAAACGAAAATAACGGCGAAAAGGTGCCTTTTGAACTACTCTCTCGTGCATCAGTGGGCTTGGACATGGAGATAAGGACATTGCACAGGCCTAAGAACCAAGGAGCTATGTCTATAAAGCTGCTCAGCGTTCGCGGGATCGTGAGACGGTAAAGAGGATCGTAATTTGCCGCACCGCCACGCGCGGCGATGGGCGCGGCGTTTTCATAACTCGTTTTAACCTGTCGAATGGAGCACCGGACTTCATGTAGACCCCGTCATCGTAGACAGTCATTACTGTTTTCGGTCCTTAATTGCATGTTGTCGCCATCTACTACCTGGAACCCTCGTCCTTTGCAGACGAGACGTCGCACGCGACGCCCAGCAGCGCGGCGAATTTCGATCCTCTTGTCACATACCCCGCGGGATTGCGCAAAAAAGAACGTATGCCGGGCAATTTGAAAAAACCGCGATTTTTTGGGGACTGCAAATTCCGCGTCCTCTGGAAACGAAAGAAACGGAATCTGGGCTCTGCGGATTCTTCCCGTCAGTACGCATACGTAGATTCTGTGCAATGTTCGTGTTTAGATGCGGCCTGAGGGGGCTGAACATTTTTCTTGCGCAGAACAAGGGCTTGCGCTACAGTAATGAGAATTTCGCCCGAAAAGCTTCAGTCGTGTTCGCTGCGTATGCCTGGGCGTGTTAGTTGGGGAGGGTAGATATGTTTGGCGCTACGTCAGCTGCTCTCCAGCAACTGTTGAAACAAGCAAGCTTAAGCAGGTGACAATAACTGGTTGAGAATGGGTTGGTGCCGTGCCAAACCCAGCCCCTACCCTGGCACACCTTGGCATCCGCAGCGAACAGGGCTACAAATACCCACTACCTAGCCGAATCCACCCCAGAGAAACGATGTTGGTACATTTCCTCGTATATCAAAAACAGGAACAAAGACCGTGATAACTAAGGAAAACTTCACTTACTATTTCTCGACGATTGATGAAGGAGAGAGATGGTCAGCCGGCACATATGGGTCTCCCATACCCATACGTAACTTGAAGTATCTGAGAAGAGACTTACACGTATTCGGCTAACATTTGTATCATCATATGTCGTCTTACGATAACGCTATAAATGAGTAAACTAAAAAAGTTGCAGGTCGGACCCTAAAAACCGTGCAGACCGATCGATTTTCGCTTGTGAAATTTCTAAGGCTAGCGCAGCTGGGAGGGGTGAGAGCACTCTCACTCATCAATGCCTTCGTATCCTTTTCAGAAAGGGACAGGCCCAGAGCGCAGTGTCACAGTGTTCACTAAGCCTAGGCTCTAATCAGGGAAAGGGGTACGGAAGCGCTGCCGCTTTGGCGCTAGCGCCAGCTCTACTGCTGAAAGCCGTGAAAAAATAACTCCATATACAAAAGTAACCATAGTCAAGCAACTACTCAGTACTTCAGTACGACAACAAAGAGGTAAGTATGACGAGCTATCGGAAAACTGATTTAGTCCTAAATTTTCATGCATAGGCTCGACTTTTTCACCACTTTGCGGATTGCGCATCCATACTGAAAGACAAACAGCTGTCTGGGATAACTGCCAAAAACAAACAAATAAACAGACGAGTAAGCACGAAGGAGAAAAAACGTTGCACTTCTGTGAATCGCAATAAAAAGTAGGACTGATCAAGAAGTTCATAAGCACAATTACAGTCAAAATTCGGTTGCTGAAACGAACCACTGTGTTTTGCAATGCTTTCTTTTTCCAATGATTTGTCTTTCTTTGTTTCTAGTTAGAAGATTTCAGCCAAAGCTACAAATCAAAGGAAGGGAAACAACAAAGGGCAATAACAAAATGTACTTTTGTGGATCACAAGGACAACTTTCCGACAGGATTCATAGGATTCCTCAAAGATGATCGAAAAAGCAGAAACAAATGAATTGCATCGACGCACTTCAGGTATGTGTCAAGAAATATATCTGAATCAAACGGAATTAGAACCAGACAGACAAACGTGAGCTGGTTAATGTAACTCTATTCAAGGTAGCTTGTCTGTCGAAGGCACTTCGGATTGCCAAGGAGTGTGGTAGGCACCCAAACTAAAGAAAGTACGAAATTTGAAAGAATTTTTGGCTTTTTTCCCGAATCCTACGAGTACCTTTCTAATAAACTTTTGGCACCGCTTAACATCGTGCAACACTTGAAAGTTGGAGCCATTCCAATATCGTTCGATATTCTGCAAACAATTACCTAAGAGAATTTGTATTCGATATTTTATGACCTTAACATTCCGAGATGTCACGGCCCCTTATCAAAAAAATTGTACACGGTAGTTTGGCGCACAAAAACACATTAAAGGTCATTAATTCCTATTTTATGACGGCTTGAAAGACATCTATCTTCACACTCTTCCAAACTTCAATCCGCAGCTTTGAAAAATCAACAATACATCGAAAAGTAAACAGCAAGTTGAACCGAGCAAAGTTTTCCTCGGTCAGCGGAATGCTTGGCAAGTAGCCAATGCAATACCGTCAAGAGAATCCGCTCGGGACCATCTGGCGAATTGCAGAAGTTATCGATCGGGGCCGAGTCACCCATCGTCGTCATTGTCGCGTTGAGTTTCGTCGCGTCATGGATTTTGCTGAACCGGGGCCGATGTCGGTTCCTTCTCCTCTTCCTGTTGCTGTTTCTGATTCTGATGGTATTCAAGAGGTCGATACTGATGACTCCTATACCCTCACCAATCTCGAACGTTGTGACGAAACGCAGGACCAGAATCCAGTCAATGTATCTACCTTTAGCTTTTTAGCGGGAAATTGTTTTCGTATCAAGTTTACACCACAAACTAAGGTCAATTAATCGTTTCTAGGCTCAGGTGTAGCATGGGTCCGCACTCAAGAAGCTATGTGATCGAACTCCTTCACGCGATAGTGGGTCTCCGAATTTGCGAAAATTCTCCAGCGGATTTTTTACCTCTCCTGAAGTTTACTTAGAAATCTACTGGACGTCGGAGTGAGGACCTTTACTACACCAGTGCCCAGTTCTTAAAGTATACCTCAAACTTGGGCTTAAAAGTCCACCTCAAACTTGAAACTAGAAGTACACCTCAAACTTGGGCTTAGGATATAGATTTTTAAAATACCGTTCGCGTGGGATATTGCGAAATTCTTGTCACAAACTTGGGTAATTAAACCTATTCGGTCGACGCGAACCGAATTCCAGTTTTCGTATGACTTGTTTTCAGCAGTAATATTTTATAGGCTGTTGCTGATTTGTTCGAAGGATTGGATTATGATAGGCCGTCTACTTCACGTTGTAAGACAAAGTATGTTTACTAAACGTTAACTGCCCCTTTTTTCTGGGACAAGTAGGCTAAGGTGGCGCAGGTGATGATGGAACCCTATGTGCAAAACTGTGAACGCAGTATTACGAAGCTCACTCTTCGGCATCCCAGGATATCTGTCAACCGCAAGTCTTCCTCCTTTTCTCCTTACTCATTCACTCCCTCCCCACCATACTTTCGAGTGGATTTTTTCACGCCCCTTCGTCCGCAGCGAACTAGTGTATATTGAACCTCTGACAGAAATTAGTGGGTGATTCACAAATTAAAAGCCAAAGCGTTCGTTGTAAGTTTTATACAAAGAGTCTTCAACCTCTCCCCCTCTCCTTCTACCAGACCTGTCCCTTCGCTCGAGTTTTCCTTCAACCTAATTACGTTGTTGAACCTTTTCAGCGCAAATCTGGATCGGTTGTGTGAAAACGGTGTCTATGAATACCGGTATGATGACGAATACGAGGATATTCAGAAGTTCTATTACATGACGGAGGATAATTTTGCGGAGGTTCTTACCCAGGTTCGTTTCGTTATTTTTTGCATAAAGATTTGTAGCGAATCATTTGGAAGTTCTGAAAAAGGAGAAACTCTGATAGGAAAAACTTCGTATAGGCTATCAGAGTTTCCCCATTCTGTTTTTCTGGTCAGTCATTAAATTTGTTTTATTTAAGCTTGAGGAAGAGATTGAACAAGAGGAGCAAGAAGCTCAAGACAAGGTAGCGGCCACTGAAGAAATGATAAAGGTAGTTTTGGTTTCTTGCTTTTTTTAGTGTTCTTTGGAATTGCCACGTCAAAAAGTCGGACGTGTCGGTTAGGACTGGACATGGTGGAATCCACGTGGCTGTGACCTACGAGGGCTGACAGCGTAGATTTGAGCTCACTTCCATCAATCAGAACCACTTTGGTAGTTGTGCTGTGCAGTTCGGCTGTGTTATAGCTTACAGTTACGTCCCGGTAATCGACGTTTTCAACGATAATGATGAATGGGTGAGATACCCGTGTACAAATATGACGCTTTCGCGGAAAGGGGTAAATATGAAGCGATCTGGCGCTTCGCCCTCGCGAAATGCTGGTTTCATCTGTCCACCTGTTTTGTCACCGAGTGTACCGACGCTTCGCCCGAGCATTCGACGATTCTCTTGGTCGATACGTGTTTATTGTTTTTCGTCGTCTGACCTGGTCGCCAGCAGTGAACAATGCGTAAAGTTCTACTTACTGCTGTTGTCTCTACTGCCCCTCGTTACTTCTGCTCTCGCGTCTCTTACTCTTCTGGCGAATGCTCTGGACCCTACGCTATATTTCCCCTTGAAAGCAGACATCTTCCGGGTAACCTCTACTGTCCCCCGTTACCTCTCTTGATGCCCCTCGTTTCTTTGATTCTTCTGCGTTCATAAGCTCCGTCCATACTTTGCGTCGGCGTCCACCAGCGAGCACCAGCGTGCAGCAACTTCTCAAGGGACTAGGGAAGTGTATGGGCATCGATCTAGCGAAGCCAACGTCCACCAGCGTACAGCTGCGTTTTCGCGGGCAGTTCTACTCAAATTCAAAAAAGCCCGCGAAGGTGCTGCTGTAAGCTGATAGAGCTGGCGTTGATGCCCTCCTTTACTTCCTTAGTTCCTCGACACGCAGACGTTCGCTAGATAGATATCTGTACTTTGCCAGTCGCTGGCGTGTGCTCAAAACGCCGGTGGACGCTGAGCAAAGTATGAACGCAGCCGTGATCTTCTGGCTCACGCTCTGAATGTAGTAGGATCGATATTCTACCCTCGTGCCGAGGGTGACTCAGGGAGTGTGCTGGAGCAATGATGCAGACGCAGGAAAAAAAACGGGGGGGGGGAGCATCGATAGAGATAGTGGCGGAGGTTTATGAGGGAATGTTCCTAGGCGACCCTGGCGAATTGGAGAAAAGGCGAACGGCAATAAACAGGTATCAAGCGGGAGAGCGTTAAATGCTGTGGTGGGGCACGGGCGCCAACGCGAAAACAGCTGGATGCGCATTGATATTGCTGGTTCCGCTCAAGAAAAGAATGGGTGAGCGGACGGAGCTAGCGTTCCGCGCGTGCGAACCGCCGGTTCCCCTAGTCTGTTCGGTCCTACCTAACCCTTTTCGCATGTCTTTCTCCGTTCGTGAGGACTATAGAGAGGAGCAACGCCTCACTATAGTATCTTTCCCTCAAGAAAGAAACAGCATAGGGCTTGTGAGCTTAACGGAAGACTGATTGCGTCGACAAGGAGAACTAATCCCGAGGTATGAACGCAAACTTTTATATGAGATTAATTATTTCATTATTACAGGAAATGGAACAAAGCGCAAGCAATTTTGTTCATGTTCGTGAACTGATCAAGAAACGCGACAAACACAGCAAGGCTGCGATAGAAGTGAGGGAGGAGAAAGAACGTGTTAGAGAGCTGAAAAAACAATTGGCCATGGCGAACAAGGTTTGTTAATACAATGTTTTGGACGCTAATACAATTCGGAGGGGCCATGCGACGGCGCGACTGTATTCGCCCTTACTAGACGAGGGAGCATGACCGTCTGCTCTGTGCAGACAGTAAGCATTGGGAAGCAGAAGCGACATAGAAGTATCGCCGCGTGGGCACCTCCGACTAATCTGGCACAGCTCTGTAGTTTTTATTTTGTGAACAATTCCTGTTTTTTAGGCCAGTAATATGTTCTGCTGCTTTGTGTGCTGCAAGGTTTTCCTTGATGAGGAAGAAATGCGCCAGCATGTTTCGGTAAAACATTTGGCATCGAAGAAGGTATTATTTGTTTCTTTGTTAACAAGGTCATGGAATTGAATGACATCGTCATCTCAAATTGTGGTTCGTTCAGGAGTACAAGTATAGATGCCCATCCTGTTATCGAGTCTTCATGGATCAGCAGAAACTCAGTCTTCATATTGTGAGCCACAATAAGGAAGAGCTACGCTGTTCGGTTTGTGAACGGTCGTTCAAGTGCGTCGTGTATTTTCTTTATTGAATATTGGTAATCCTCAATAAGGCACACTTTCATGTAATCGAAGGTTTCGGGGTGGAAAAATTAGGACGCGTTCATAGTTTGCTGCTGAAGAGATTCATCAGCTGCCATCAGCGTTCTGAGCGTCTGTCAGCGCCATCGAAAGTACATGTGCGGTTGCCTAGGCAGCAGCTTTACGAGGCCTAATGCAGCTTTCTGCTCCCTCATACTTCCCCGTACTCTCCACTAATGGACCCTGGTGAACGATGCCGCAAAATGTGAACGGAACCTGAAAGACCATCGTCAGTAGGGATCATTTGCAGTCGAATGACACAAGCGACTCATGTGATGTGATTAATTTGATACACCTTTTTTAGGGAACCTGTATCTTTAAAAATCCACATGAGCAAAATGCATGGTCAGTCCGTGGATGGCGAGAAAATTGATAAAACCATTGTTTGCAAATGTGGTCAAATGTTTGGAATCATAGAGGAACTCAAAGTAAGTTAATCGTTTTAGCGGCCCTCTATTCATTTTAGGCCTCTTCAGGCCCTTTGTCTTACGCAGTGCCATTTGGAGGAATTTCACTCCGGAGTTGTAGGGGTGCGGTTGGATTGCGTAATGTGCGTAATCTTTTCAGCGTCATGAATACCATTGTGTAGCAAGAGAGAAAGTACGCGAAAGACGTCGGCGGGTCCTCAAGGAGCTAGATGAAATGTCTTCGATTACTCCCACAAGTAGTGCACCTGGATCTGATGTCGCGTCTTCTTCCGGTTCAGGAAATGTTGTAAGTGAGGTCATAGTATGCTGTATTTTCTCATCTCTAATCAACGTTGGTTTAGGAATGCATGTTTGAATGCCCAATGTGCCACCGAAAATTCTCGAAAAACCATCACCTTCGTAGACACGTTGCGACTCACTCAAACACAGAGTATCCTGCTCGATTTGTGGGCGGTCGTACAGGTTAGTCCATCTCTGGCACTTTCTTTGTGTAATCACCAGTTCTGAAATGCTCGTCAGTTCATCAGGAATTTCCCAAGCGTTCATACTTTGCGACTCTGTGTTTCGCTGGGATCACTGTTTGAGCGAGCAGCTGCATTTTGAGCGCCGATTGATACGTGTGTTTCCCTTCCCGCTGAAAACACAGTTTCGCTCGAAAAACCAGGCCACTCAAAACGCTGATCCCTAGAAGATCTTGCCGCAAAAAGAATGGACGCATCCATATTGCCCCCATCCCCCATTTGGGCTGAGAGCAGCCCTGAAAGTGGTAAGCGTGCACATGCGCTCGACCGACCTCATGGGGCCCAATCATCTAGAATGAGATGCATACTACTGCCTATTCGATAAATGAAAAGCAGCGCTTGAAATTTGCTCGAAGATTCTGTGTGGGTAGTGTTGTGAAGGTTTACCCGCGGAGTATTTGCTCTTGATTAGTCGCTTTAGAGATTCCGCTTTGCGGTACAGCTAGGAGAGAGGTAGGTCCAGGATCATGAATAAGTGACCTCTGCGACAATGTTTATACTTCACGACACGGTTCCAGTCAATCGTTGGGCGGCTGTCAACAGTGGTAGCACGCTGAATTTGGCTGTAAGTGTTTGCAGCGGTCCAGCGACTAGATATGGAGCGCAGTCGGCCGCAACCACCCAAGTTGCTATGTATGGACGCACCATCACTGCGTGCCAGGAAAATTGTGATTTAGTCATAAGTTGACCACAATTTGCCGTCCAATACAATTCGTTTTTAGCTCGCAGAGAACCGTAAAATTTTGAGAACCTTAAGTGAATGGGGAGATCAGGACTGCTGGGGCATAATCCGTCAAAGATGTGAATGGCTTCACTCTTTTTTTTCAGAGATATTATCTCGTTACAAATCCACATGAGTAAGGAACATAGTCAGTCGTTGGATGGCAAGAGGATTGAAAAAACCATCGCATGCGAATGTTGTGGTCAGATGTTCGGGATCATAGAAGAATTGAAGGTGCGTTGCTCATTTATTTTGCGTTTTTTAATGGCTTCACATTAGTAAAAAGGCTTCACATTAGTGTAAAATGAGTCTGTTGAATGGCGTGAAACAATGACTTGAAGGCAACCTGTACACTCTCCCGAAGGCGTCTGGCCATGCGTGAGGCGAATAGGTCCGCAACTGCAATAGCATGCCACTTTCTATGCTCAAAGGTGAGCAAGAACTGGGCCTAAAGGTAGTGGTCCCAAGTGCTGTCTGCATATTTCGCCCGTGTTATTCTCAGTGGTGCAGAGGTTGCGTCGATACCAGGGTCCTGCAGCGAAACACGCTATCAAAGGCAGGGAACAACTAGAAGTGAGAGGGCACAAGTAGCGTGTTGGCTAGGGGGCGGGTTCCCATGCTGCAGCGCAGGCGGAGTATGGAGACGGCAATCGAGTACCACTGCTCACTGTATGAATGTGAGTAACTCTTGACAAGGAATGCTCGCAAAATATCTGCTGTTATGCACATCACCGATGTTACCCTTGACGAGAGAATGATTCACCACTACCACCTACTACTACAGAACTCATTCATACTCTACTTGGCGAGATTAGAACTGGCTTCGGAACTGGTTGGGATACTTTGTGTTATCGGAAGTCAGGATTGCTCCTAAGTACTGTATAGAACTCGAGCGTTTCCGCTCCAGGGCACTGGAAGATGAGAGGAATCAGGACCGATCGACCCCTCCTTCACTTCTTTGGCACGCAATAAATGTTCTCCGAGTTAGAAGTGTGGCAAAATATGATTTTGGCCAAAGGCTTAATTCGCAGGTCTGTGCGCGCTCTGACTCGCCGGTTTCTGAATGTACTGCTGCATGTTTTCGTGGAACGGGCTTTTTATAAAGTCTATCTCCTTCACTTCCAATGTTCATATACCTCATACATGTGAATAAGCGTGACTTTTCAGCGGCATAAGTATTACTGTGGGTCAAGAGATAAGATTGCTGAAAGGAGGAAAGAAGCACGCCAAGAACTTGATGATGCAATGTCTACGATTACTTCTGTGAGCGGTTGGGCCGAATCTGTTATCTCATCTTCTTCTGGTGCTGCAAGTACTGTTAGTATAGGAAGTGCTTCCGGTCGTCCAGTTAAAGGTGAGCTATGGTATTTGAACGCTGGTTTATTAAAATTGGTGCAGTTCAACGATGGGGCATCACTTTCGTGTGTCGACGTGTCGAACCATCTGGAGAGCTTTTCATGAACCTACAAGAGTTGAGAGGTACATATTAACTGGCTCGACGAGCTTGCTCCAGCTTCATCATTGAGTGAGACTTGTAATAGGTACTACTAAGGGAATAGAATGCAAAGGTCTCCGCGCCCTCTGCTCGGTCGTGACTGTCTCCTTGACATTGCATATCTAATAAATTAAAGAATAATTTTTCAGAGTAAATTGTCCTTTCTGTTTCCTGGTATGTGCTTCAATGCAATCGCGAAGGCGTCACATCGAAAGAAAGCACCCCGAGAAATTGAATGACCTCGAAGTCGATACGCATGGTTATGTGAAAGTTGTTACTGTAAGTATTCTTATGTAGGATTGTTCGATTTCTGAGTAGAACCGCTCTTAACCGCATTCTTTCAGCCTGCCCTACCGTATGCGTGCGATATTTGCTCGAAGACCTTCGCTTCTCATGCCTCCATGATTACACATAAGAAAAGAATTCATGAAAATAAGAATAATCATGAGTGTACCACGTGTGGAAGGAGGTATGTTCGGTTTTATCAGGCTGCGTTCATACTTTGCATTAGCGTTTTGAGCGTACGGCAGCGTATGAGCGTTTCGAGCGACTGCCCGCGAAAACGTTCAAAAAGCCCGCGTTCGCTCATAACGTCAGGTCGATGTCTGCCTTTTCCTAGGCAGTGTTGGCGAACGCTTGGAACGTTCTGAAACTGACGCAAAGTATGGACGCATTCTTAGCAATGATGTCTTCAAAATTCAGTCATTTTTCAGCTATCCACTAGCTAGCGAGCTCCGAAAGCACATAAAACGAGTACATGAGAAGGATTTGGACTACGTGATATCGCAGAAGGTGGCGCTGTCCGGCTAACAAAGAACTTGTGTTTCTAGGCGTAGTTGAAAGCAGTGGGCAGGATTGCTGGGACGGGCGCTTATTGCTAGCGTCATTGGTAGACGGGCTGCAAAAGGGCCTTTAGCCACACCCAGTTACCCCACCGATTGTGTCCACTGCCTTCAGGATGACTTTATGTGATTCCTTTCGGGTTTCGGTTCCGTCGGTGCTCAGATGTTGTCGGTGTGTAACATTTTGATTAGGGTTTCACGGGGTATTCTTTCTGATTTTCACTTTGAAATTGCTCGCTCGGTCGGGCTTGTTTTACCTCGGCAGTTTGCTTTCGTTGAAGTTGACATATTCTACTAACCTTCCCCACCAAAGATGCTTATTCAAAGAGGCCATTTGTTTTAGTGTCATCTAACTAATAAGCTGAAGTTTTTTTGAGTAGGTTGTAGATTAACTTGTTCTTTTATGTTGTTATTGTACATATGTTTTGTTTACTAATAAACTTAATAACTAGCTGATTTTTGTTTTATGCGACGTTAAGCAACGTGTCCCTTCTCTTTGCGTGGAGGAAGGATTACGATTTTTGGTCGTGACTTATCATTCTTGTGGTAACTTTCGGGGCGCGACAGGCAGCAATTAGAGTGCGTTCATACTTTGCGTCAGCGCTTTGAGCGTACGGCAGCGTTGAGCGACGAGTAAGTAGGGGT